TTTGGAGATTGAGAATTAACTAAAATTAAGAGGTGAAGGAGAAAATGCACTGCCACATAAGCTATGTGGCAGGGTCGACAAATATTATCTAAAATGAATCAATCTGGTAGTAGAAGTATTCTAAAATTACTTAGACTTATGGCAATAACCATCAAAAGAATCAAAAAGAAAGTTAAATGGTTACTTATGCTGAGTAAGATTTAGGAGAGTGAGGACTCGGAAAATTTTACTTTTCAACTGAAACCCTTCTGTACTCCTTGCATTTTCCTACCATATATGGATTTACTACAAACACATATTTAAGAAAACAGAAGAAAGTGACATGAACTCCTCTGCTCTTTGTTACCTTTGCTCTTGAAACTAGACAAAAGTGTACAAGAAAACAAATCAACATCCGTATCTGCATTCACCATAGTCCACGCGCGCCTGCCAAAGCCACGTGCTGCGGGAGGTGCTGGGCCAAAGCCACCAACTAAGGCAGACGGCCCAGGACCTTACATCCTAGAGCCACAGGCCACCACAGTCCTCCCTACTTCTTGTAAAGGACTCTGCACCTCGCAGGGCTCACAAGAATGAGAAAATATATGGTGAACACTGCAAAAATGCAGACAGAAAAAGGCCATTCTTGTGAGAGTTTATCACTTGATATACAAACTGTAACTTGACATTGACACTCAAATTAGGAAACCAAATGATTATAAGTAGCAGTAATATAGCTCTGTGCAGCTTAATAAGCATTCTGACACCTCATTCAATCCTTACAACTCTGACAAGTAAATTCTTTCCCTCTGCCCATTCATTCAAAAGCCGAAAAAACAGAAGCTGCGAATATTATTTACTTGGCCAGGGTCACCAAGCTAGTAAACTAGAATCTATATTTGGTCATCTTACATATAATAGTATATATTATCATGGTTCATACATAATATACCTTATATAATATATAATTATTCAATATATAGGTTATTCTATTTTTTTCTTTTTTTTGGGCTGTGTTGGGTCTTTGTTGCTGCGCACAGGCTTTCTCTAATTGCGGCGAGCGGGGGCTACTCTTCGTTGCATGTGTGGGCTTCTCATTGTGGTGGTTTCTCTTGTTGCAGAGCATGGGCTCTAGGTGCGTGGGCTTCAGTAGCTGTGGCGTGCGGGCTCAGTAGTTGTGACTTGAGGGCCCTAGAGCACAGCACAGGCTCAGTAGTTGTGGCACATGGGCTTAGTTGCTCCGCAGCATGTGGGATCTTCCCGGACCAGGGCTCGAACCCGTGTCCCCTGCATTGGCAGGCGGATTCTTCACCACTGTGCCACCAGGGAAGTCCTCTATTTCTTATTACATAGGAAATAAAGAGTAAATATACATATATATTTCTTATACTATACTACCTGTCTCTGAGTAAATCTGAGCTTAATGCTTTTTTTAAAAGTTTAATCTGCATTTGAATATCTACTGTAACTGAGGCAGACCTAAATACTTTATAAATGCTTTCACATGCCCCCACCATATTTTGGCAAAACTTAAACACAGTCTTTGACAAAATAAAGCTAAGTGAAGAATACTGATAATGGCCTATAATGCTTAAGAAATATTCCCAATTTTTACAACTAGCTAAGAAATTATAAACTTATAGTTACTTCAAGATAACCCTACAGGGCCTTTCATTAAATTTACTTCAACACTGCCAGATTTACAGCTCCTTATAAGCTTTGAGACTGGGGAACATTCAAGAGCACGAGAAGGAAGCATTAACCATCCAGAACATCTTCCCACGGTCTGTCTTAAGCCACTTTCTCCATGTGCGCTGGGCAGTGTACCCAGTGTGGTCTCCTATAACAAGAGAAATGCAAAGCTATCTTGCTGTCAGAGCCAGGTCAGCTAACCATCATACCAGTAGTTAAGATGCTAAATTAAAATTTGAAATTAACTACAAAGTTCAACAGCTCATCTCTGGAAACAAATGAAACCAAAACACAACTCTTTCGGTGGTAATTTTGCTATACTAAGCTCGGTCAGCAAAAGAATAAGTTTTAATTTCATTCCACAACTACAAAAACACATCACTGTTTAACTGGCAGCCAAACAGAAAGACAGACCACCACGACAGTGTCTTCTTGTGATGGCTGCATCCCTCAGCAGCTCCTTTCCTGCAGGGGGACGCGGGGAAGGAACACTGACATCTTGCAGACAAGCCTAGGCTTGTGCCTTACACACAGAAGAACGCATGACTGACTTTTTCTCGGGAATACACAACGCATATTTTCATCTAATTTTACTGAAAGCAACAAAAAAGGAAGAGCTACAGAACAGTAGTGAGAATACAGTATTGCCACAAAACTAGCGTGGGTGGTGGATCAACACTGAGTGAAGGGGACCAAGGTCTAACAGGTTTTAACCTGCAGCTGGGTTAATGAGCCCGTGGTGTGGAACATCTGCAGTGAAGTACACTGAGCACCTTGCGACGGCTGCCACAGCCCCACACAGCATCACGTGCCCCCTTGAAAGCACTGTCAGCTCTTAAACAGACGGGCTCGGTGGTACTGGTGATACTCATGCAGGTATGTTTTGTTAATTAAGGAGCCTGACATGAAGATAGATTACACTGTGGTTTAAATAAAGGAAAACAAGTAGATGCGAAAATTCTCAGGCTAAGGGGGTGGGGGTAGGGTGGAGTAACATATATCCCAGCTTATAAGGGTGATGACAGGGGCAAGTGATGCTACATGTAACATCAGATTCTGAACAACTGAAACTGATACAGAGTCTGTCTTCCCACTGTCACTGAGAGAGAAACTAGGCCTGGTTTTTGGCTTCAAAGAATTATGTAATGCTATTAAACCTCACAGAACTCTGAGTACCCTCTTCCCCAAGTTTTTCTGGAGCCAAGTATTACTAAAAACACAGTCTTCCATAGTATAAATAACCCTTACATGGTGCAAAGCTCTTTCAAATACTTTATTTCATTAAAAGACCAATGATACAGTCCAAAAGGTCTCTGGCTCTGAAATCCTGGCAAAGTCACTTGATCTGTCTGGCTGCTCCCTTGATAAATAACTGGGCCTGAAAATTTTGATGAAGACACTAATTAATATTTCATAATCCCCATCTTCAATGACTAAATGTTTTACAAGCATATACTCACAAAACCCTCACTCACTATGAGATATACTTCTCTTACCCTCATTTCATAGCCGAGGAAACTGAGGCACAGAGGGGCTAAGGAACTTGCCCGAGGTCCCAAAGCGAGGATAATAAACTGAGCTGCCGGATCCAGGTCAGACCTAGGATGCAATGACTTTCAAGCAAACTGAGTATGAATGGTGAGGATGAAGTCTTCCTGCACAGCCTGCCAATGAAACAGGTGATCAAAAGCCAAGGAGAAAAAAGACAAAAGGCCTTTTTAAAATCCCTTAAGGATTACTGATTCAAGATCTGGCATACTTTCACGAAAACAATAACGCAACACCTCTTCACAGAAAGGAGCACGACCCTGAGAAGCATCAAGTGCTCTCCGGCTTTTTTCCTCTGCCAATTACAGATTCTCTTCCAGGGAAGCACATCTGGACTTGAAATGCTGTGCCTTTACGATCACCTCCCAGTGTGAGGTGCTATGACATTAAATTTTATATAAATAAACTGTAATTGTTTTGTGAACAACCAGAGAAAGGAGCTATTGTTTGGTGTTAGCATCAAGTATTAGGCAGTGCTCCTTATGTCTTGCCATAACTTTCAAAGGGGAACAAATTTATAATTCACTGCTACAATGCAGACCACACATCACATGAGAAATTTAGAAACCAGCTGGGATAAATGCCCCAAGAGATTTCTGAGGACAGGAACCCTTACCTTTCTGCATCTTTGTACCCTGCACTACGTGCGCTGCATGAAACCTGCATATGAGCATTTCCTGGAGATTATCAACAACGGTAAAGTATTACCAAAAGAACCAAGGTGGCAAGACTAGCAGATTCCAAACCGATTTTGTACAAAAATAAAACTGCGTCTAATAATGCAACAGTTAAATACGGACCCCCGGTCCTTCTCAGAATAAAAACATGCTCTGGGTGTTGGCCGAGGACCTTTCACTTCCAAAAGGAAAAAGAGTAAACCACCACGAACTTTCTGCCTCTCTCATCCTAAACAGCTGAATCATTCACATATTCAACCGACCAGAATTCTTCCAAGGACTGTCAATGCAGGCTCTGCTTCTTGGGAAATCCGAATTTAAGACCTTCCCCAGGAGAGCACAGAAGAATTATAGGAAATGAACGGGATTCCCAAATGACGCAGACTTCGAGGAGTTGCGTTATCCCTAATCCAACAGGAGGCCCTGGGTATCACAGCAATCTCCAGGGAAGGAAAGACACCAGTTTGAGAAAACGTACTCATTCCTCCCACGGATATTTATTAAACCTGTACTTGGCGCAAGGCGCACGGGCACCGGGTGGTGGAATGCGGCTGCCGCGGCCCCACCGCCAGCCCGACGCCCCCAAAAGACCGCGGGCCAGGCGCTGGGGCTGGGGGTCCGGGACCCGGCGCCTCACGCCCATACGGGTCTCCCGAGCTGCGTGGGTTCACTCGTGGCGAAATAACAAACCGGTGTGGCCGCCGCGGCGAGGGTCACGCACACCCGCGCGGCTGGTGGGACACCGCATCCGCGTTGGGGGGGGGGCCTCCGGGGGTCATAGGGGATCCCTGGAGGGCGCATGGGGGCCCCTGGAGCGCCGTGGGGTTCCAGGGGGTGCGTGGGGAGGGCTATGTGGGTTCCAGGGGATCCCTGGAGGGCAGGTGGGGGACTCCGGGGGTCCTAGGAGGTCCCTGGAGCGTTGCGGGGGGGGCCAGGGGCGTTCTGGGGATTCCAGGGGGTGCCGAGGGGCCCTAGGGGAATCTCTGGAGGGCGTGTGAGGGTTGAGGGCCCCTGGGGCGTTCTGGGGGCCCCCAAGGAAAGTGGGGGGGGCCGCCGACCAGGGACGGAGACCCCCGATCAGGGCACGCGCGGTCCGGCGCTCACCCAAAGAGCCCTCGGAGGAAGGAGTGGGAGGCCTTGACTCGCTTCTCGGCCTCCGCCATCAGTTGCACCGCCTCTCGCTCCTTCCCCGCGTTGTCCATGTCGCCAGCCGAGACCGCCGCCACAACCTTCTCTACGAGTCTGACGCGCCTCCCGCGCCTCCCGCGCCTCCCGCAGCAGCGGGCCGCGCAGCCTGTCGGGAGTTGCAGTCCAGGCCGCGCCCGGGCCGTCCTCTCGCAGCTGCGGGGCGCGGAGGCGCAGCGTGCAACCTGTCGGGAGTTGTAGTCCAGGCCGCACTCTGCGGCGGGAGCGAGCGAGGCGTCCACTACCATACCCAGAAGGCCGCAGAGTCCGCGGGCGTCGGGGGCCTCGAGGCGGGGGTCCTGACCCTCTGTAGGGCCCTCTGCGAAGGGGAACGTTAATCTTTTAAGGATGTGGGGAACGGAAAGGAGCCCGTGTCTTCCAGAGAAGACCGCCTCAAACTCAAGCATCACGTTGGATCAGGAGTCTCTGCCCAGCACGACCGTGGCCGGGGGATGGACGGGGACGCGGGGACAACGGGGTGGATGAGGACACGGCGGGTGGCAGGCTGGAAAGCTTCACTGCACGCGAATTCCGCGAGCGTGATGTAAGGCGGCCAGGGACGCAGCTGCAATAACCTTGCGATGCCCCGCCCACCCACCCTCCAGCTCCAGCAGGAGGAGGAACCACGTTTATCTTCAGAGCGAGGCATTTAAGAGGGAAACGGTTGCCCCAATATAAATTCAGAGTTGGGGCTTCCCTGGTGGCGCAGTGGTTAAGAATCTGCTCAGCCAATGCAGGGGACACGGGTTCAAGCCCTGGTCTGGGAAGATCCCACATGCTGTGGAGCATCTAAACCTGTGGACCACAACTACTGAGCCTGTGCTCTCGAGCCCGCGAGCCACAACTGCTGGAGCCCCCGTGCCTAGAGCCCATGCTCCGCAACAAGAGAAGCCACCGCAATGAGAAGCCCGTGCACCACAAGGAAGAGTAGCCTCCACGAGCCGCAACTAGAGAAAGCCCGCGCGCAGCAAAGAAGACCCAACGCAGACAAAAATAAATAAATAAATTTATTTTAAAAAAAAATTCAGAGTTGTTTTTCAGTCTCTGCATATTGTAACTTTCTGTCGGTCCTCCTCCTTGGTTAAAGAAGACTTGCATATACGGGATATGTGCATAATCCTCTGTTTTTACTGACTGGGTTCTTTTCAATGGATGTGAGCCATTGAGCTCTCTTATTCTTTACATAATGCTGGCCATAGTGTGGAGTGGGTCTCCTGGGACACAGTTCTGCCTGCCAGGAACTTATAATCTCCTAGGAGAAGTATCCGTAGATAGACGCTACCCTGTGCCAACGATTTCCAGGCCTGTCCTGGAAGGACAGGGGGAGTTATTTTTTAACGCAAAGTCTAGGCCATTTACATTTGGTAATGCTAAAGCAGAGGTGGTGAAGCAAATATGAAAATCGCTGCCAAATGAGAACTTGTGACAGTTTCAAACTATTAATAAATACACTGTGGGCACTGGCACACAAAATACATCTAAGCCAATGAAGCCTGAACTGAGAGAGCAAGGTAAGAAGGGCGAAACTCCTAAAAAGAAAGGTCACTAAAGAGTATGTCACAGAGTCCCTACAGTGCAGCCACTCTAGAGACGGAAGGAAGCCTCAGAGCCTCAGGCAGAGTTTATTAACTTTTACTACATGCATTATTCTAATTTCAAAAAGCTAATCTGGAGCAGTATTGGTGAAGAAGGAAGCAGGAAACTAGAGGAAGTAAATGCAGGAGTAAAGAGAAAAACTGCAAAAAGTGGACACGGGCAGTCGGGGAGCAGAGCAGTCTGTAGGGATTTGGTGGATGGTCCAACTCGACAACTCCAAGTGCAGCGTGAGTGTGTTGATTAAAGCAGTTCCCAAAGGATTTTCAAGAGATACTGATCCCTGAGCTCCTCGCTCTTTGTATTGGCATCTCGTGGGGCTGGAGTCTAGGAAGTGTGCGTTTAAGGAAGAACACTATTCTGAAGCATGCAATTCTAGATTCTCAAATCTGTAGTCAGCGGAGAAGGAGGCAGGATGGACTGCCTTCTCTAAACCAGAACTTGCAGTGATGGGTGGCAGGGGGACATCGGGACAGTTTTGATGTTTCTGGGTATTTCGCTCAGTCTCTTCTCTCTCACGGGCACTCCCAGCCTTCCCCCCAGACCACACCCCTGTGGGAAAAAACTTCAGACCTTCATTGTTGTGTCAAGTGTGTGTTTTCTTCTCCCGGTGGCTGGGTGAGGGGAGGTAGCAGGGCAGAGGGACAGACCTCTCAGAATGAGCACTGACCGGAGGGTCGGAGGAGGGATCCTCAAAGCAGGAGGGAGGAGCTGTAGTGGACCAGGGAGGGGGCGAGGCCCTGGAGTAGATCCGAAGGAGCCGTGGCCCACACCTGTGCCAGCCAGGATGGTGGCCACTTAAATTTAGATCAGATAATATGAAATGAAATGTAAATTTCACCCCCTCAGTCACACCACATTTCAACCGCTGAGCAGCCACATGTAGCTAGTGGCTGCCGTTTTATCACTGTACAGAGTTCTAGTGGACAGCACCGGCCTGTGCATACCTTGCGTTTTGGCAGCTCTGGACACTTTGAAGAAAAGAGGAAGACGGCTTCAGAGCTTCTGAGAAGATGGAGCTGGGAAAGAGGAGCCTCACCCCGAACGAGACGGAAGCAGGCAGAAGCTGCAGGCCTATGCCTGTGAGCAGGTCAGGTGACGGACACACAGGAGTAGATGGAATGTCGTGTCCACCCACCCGCCTGAGAGGTGGTCTGCAAAGGCAGACACAGGCCCTGTGACAGCTGCAGCTCTAGGAAAGGCGGGTCAGGACGTGACCCACGTGGGAATCTAGGTGTGGTGTCTGCATGTGCTCACAGAGGGGCTGCAGCATGGGGGTCCCGTGTGGAGCCGGCACCTGCGGGGGCAGCGGGCGCCCTTGCGGCCTGCCTCAGGGTGCCTCTGACTGCTCAGTGGCCAGGCGGCAGCTGCCAGGTACAGCTAGCTCACCTAGTGTCACCCTCTGGTTCCAAAGTCAGTAGGAAACTTCTGACGGTGACTAGCACTTAATCTTCCTGTCCCTGCTGCTCCCGACTGCCAGCACCTGCAATTCTCCTGACGGTTCTCTCTGGCCTTCCAGCCTGCTCTGATTGGATGCTGCGGGAGGCAAGGGGGAGGTAATTAACTTCATGAACAGGGGAATTCACGCCCCTTTGCCTCCTTGGGAGCAGCCCTCAATCAATGACTGTTAGAAGTTGGAGGATAAATACCCCTCTGGTCGGACAGTTGAGGAATGTTCTACTCTCCCCCGAGGGAGTGGGAATGAGCCCCTGTTGCCAAAAGGAGAAGGTAGCTTGTTCGGCGCCCTGCATTGGCTCCCTTCCCCGCCCTGCCCCCACACCCCCACTGGCGCTGCCTAGTGGTGTCTCCTCCCCACAAGCTGCTCTTACTACAACCCTTGTCTCGAGGTCTGCTTCTGGGAGGACGCCAGCCCGGACAGGGAGAGTGTGCGCTGAGGACCAGTAGGTGCGCTCCGGCCCCACGCTCATTGCAAGCTCATCAGCCGAGCTTCTCACCTGTGGGCCACTGCAGACGCAGGGCTCTGGTTCCCACTTCCAACGTGGTATAAAACCACAACAGCCATATGTCACTGTCATCCCCCGTGGTCGAGGCGCTGCCTGGGATGCCTGGCGTCTCACTCGGGGTCTCTCAGTGAGGGTGTAGCTGGAGCTGGGGTTGACTCTTCCCACCCTCCTGGTGCCGGGGGTGGGAAGACTCATGTGGCCCCTCGCAGGCTCTCTCTGGACTCACGTGGCGGCCAAAGAGCCAAAGGTGCTGGGGGCCGGCACCCAGGCAGCAGCCCCATCACCTTTAACCTAGTCTCCAAAGTTTCCAGGCATCACTTCCGTTTCCCGGAAGGAAATCACTCGCCTGTGTTCAAGGGGAGGGTCTCAAAGGCTTTGCAGACATGTTAAAACCTCCACAGTTAAGTTCCAGGGAGCCAGTCCCCACCCTGGTCCCCTCTGGTTATGCTGACAAAGCTGGGAACCAGGAGCCCCCAAGCTGGGAGCCGCCCTTTCCTCCAAGGGCCCTGGAGCCCTGAGAGGCTCTGCCGCGTCTTCAGCTGCCTCCTCCAAGGACATCTCGGCCTCGCTTCCATCTGCAGCATGAGTGGCTCATTGGCAGCCAGTCAAAGCCAGGCCCCATCCACTGCTCCCCTTTAGAAAGAGGGAAAAAGGAAGCCATTCCAGAAGGCCCTTCATCCAAAAGCATCAAAGTGACAAATTCAGGACAAGGAATATTCTCCATTCTTGTTGATGAGGTTGGGCTTCTGTACTTTTTGCAGCATTAAGGATACAATTTAATTACTTTATTTCCAGTGGTTCTTTTCATTTTCCTCAAGGACTTGCAAAACGCAAGAGCAATTGAATGGGGAGCTTCAGAGGAATCATTGGATCTGTGTTTCTTATTACAATTGTTTTTACTTTTCGAAACAACATTTGGGTATGTGTATGTTTGAGACATTTCACACCATGTCAAAATTTTTAGAAATATTCCCAAAGGCAGCTTTGTTAATATTATTTAACATTTCCTTAAGAAATTATTTTATAAAATTTAGAACAAAGAATTAGAAAAGGTAAAATTAATTTAATGCACAATATCTGTTATAGGAAACAGAAAATCTTAAGTTAAAATAAACACTCATGAAAAAATAGTACTGTTAATGTTATTCTTCTAATTAATCTATATGAAACTCTAAAACGTGTTTCGAAATTAACGTGATGCTTTTAAATATGGCAAATAGGCATAAAAACAAAGATGACACAACTTTTATTCATATGATATGTTCAAAGACCTCTCTTTTCTCTCGGCTTAATATAATTCTTTTCAAAGTATGGTTCTGAGCTACAGGCACAATGACTTAAAGGGAAAAAATAGTTTATTTCCTGGACTGTTCTGATATCCTTTCACATTATTTTTTAAATGGAATTTGTTTATTTTAATATTTATTTATTTGGCTGCAGAGTCTTAGTTCCCTGACCAGGGATTGAACCCGTGACCCCTGCGTTGGGAGTGCAGTCTTAACCACTGGACCACCAGGGAAGTCCCTCCTTTCACATTATTATTTAATGCTACAATAAAGGAAATTTTAGGAAAAAGATTTTCACCCATATTTCTACCTACCTGAGACTTTCTTTTTCACAAACATGTTTTCCT